ACCTTCGTATTCTTCTCGTAATGATGGTTTTATAATAATTATATATTACTTAGAAGTAAGTAAGCGAAGCAACAATTTCTTGGCAAATAGTTGGTTAGATTTTGACTTCTATTTCCACCAAAAATAACAACTCCTCATGTTTTGCTTATGCATCACTCTTTTCACTTTTTGGTAAAATTATGAAAATTTGGAACATTAACATTTTTATTAGACCTATTTGTCGATTTACCCCTTAATGTGTATAGAGATGCTAATTTTTTTCCTGAACTTTAATTTTAGCAAATTATCTCCTGAACATTTATAAATAGCTAATTTCCCCCGACGTTGGATTTTGAAATTTTCCATTCATCTTGGTCATGTGGACAACACATGTCAACTGTATGAGAGCAAAAAAGTAATTTTGTTTTGATAAATGTGTGCAAAATTGATATTTTACAACTTCTAATTGTATTCTCATAACTAATTCAAACAAAAACTGTAGGGAGTCGAAGAGAAGAAAAAGAAAAAGCAAAAAGCAATATGCTGCCCACATGCACGATAAAATTACTTTATTGACCTCAAACATTTGTGATGTGACCAAATTGTATAGACAATTAGAAGGAAAATACCAAAATTTAACGTACGGGGGCAAATTGGTTAATTATAAAGTTCAGGAGAAGTAATCAGCAAAATTAAAGTTCATGAGAGAAATTAGTAACTCTTTACAATTTCGGGGATAAAACTGACAATATCTCTTTTTATTAACTCATTGAACACGTATAGTTTTTACTTTTTTTACAACAAGACTTACAAATATAATCACTCGCAGCTCCTCAAACAGTACTTAGATTTATCCTGAATATTTTTCAGAGATTTGAATATAGAACTTCAGATACAAAAAATTATTTTCAAATATTATTTTTCACATCCCATACATACTCTTGTTAATTGATAACATAACTTGGATAAAGTAAAGAAAAACAAGCGCATAATTAAATAAGAGTATATAAAAAGAAAATTGTGTGTATAAATATTTGTTCTTAATTTTTTTTTATATATTTTTATTCAGCTTAATTGCTTGGAAAAAAATACTGGGATAAGCAGTTTCTCTCACTGTCAGTGCATGCCAATTGCCACATGATCTCGACATTGGTCCCAAGAAGAAAAGAACAAGAGCAGAAAAGTATCGATCATCTATCCACCACAGCTTCGTAAGATGTAGAAGCCGACGTGTACTGTGTGAACCGTCGATTCCATCATCAATAACAACCATCATGCAGCTTTGCTGGACATCCACGGTCGTAATCATCTGTCTGGTCAACGTATATGGAAATACGTGGGGTCTCGTAAAGCGTGGGAGCATACACGATTTTTCAACGTTACAGGCACACGAAATAATATATCACGTATTATTATATAAATAATGAGATATACATATTAAAAAGTTGATAACTTAAAAAATAAATTTTCCTGCAACTTACATAAAAATAAGTAATGTACCACCTATATTCTTATCACAATAATATTTTTTACATGCGAACAGATCGAGATCCAAAGAATTTAATGCAGCCCAACAACTATGTCAGCGACCCTATACGTAAACCCCCTTTATTCTTTTCACTTTTTACCTCATATTTTTACCCAAACAAACCAGTAAAATTTCACGTTTGTATGAATAAAGCTAATTATGATTTTACTGAAATAATAATACCACAAGGCCGTGTGCCGGATACACCAAATTTTTTTTCATATGTAATTCCTGTTACAATCTTCTTGATTACCAACTTGGCATTTAATTGTAGTGTTTTTACGTTGGTGATATTCATATATCTATTTTTGTTTTTTATACATCTTTGTTATTTGTTTTGCCATTTAAATTATTTGATTCATTTGATCTAACGGTAAAAAATTAAGAAGAGTGTGTGAAAAGTAAAAATGAGTGTGTATGTAGCTATCCTATTTTTATTAGGACGATACTATATACGCTAAATTCGTGCACCAAATAAGATATTATATTATGTACCATATAATGTGACATCCCACATCGCCCAAGGGAGTGATCCTTAAATGTATATTCCAATCCCTACCTAGCACGAGACCTTTTGGGAGCTCACTGGCTTCGGGTTCTGTAGGAACTCCGAAGTTAAGCGAGAAGAGGGCTAGAGCAATCCCATGATGGGTGACCCACTGGGAAGTTGCTCGTGAGTTCCCAAAAACAAAACCGTGAGGGAATGGTAAGCCCAAAGCGGACAATATCGTGCTACGGTGGTGGAGCGGGCCCGGGAAGTGATCTGCCCCGGGCGGGGATGTGACAAATTGGTATCAGAGCCAATCCCTGGCCGGAAATGTGCCGACGAGGACGTCGGGCCCCTAAGGGGGGTGGATTGTGACATCCCACATCGCCCAAGGGAGTGATCCTTAAATGTATATTCCAATCCCTACCTAGCACGAGGCCTTTTGGGAGCTCACTGGCTTCGGGTTTCGTAGGAACTCCGAAGTTAAGCGAGAAGGAGGCTAGAGCAATCCCATGATGGGTGACCCACTGGGAAGTTGCTCATGAGTTCCCAAAAACAAAACCGTGAGGGAATGGTAAGCCCAAAGCGGACAATATCGTGCTAGGTGGTGGAGCGGGCCCGGGAAGTGTTCCGCCCCGGGCCGGGATGTGACATATAAATTTTATTTATAATTATTAATTAAATTTCAACTTGAATTAATGTATAAATTTAATTGGTGACACATTATTTAGTGCATAAATTTGGAAATTTGAATCCTCTTTGGACATTAGTCTTTAGAGCTTAAGGAATAGGAAATTTGAGCCCTTGGTTTGTATGAAGAAAAATTGATGCTCTTAGTTTATGTCAGGTACACCAATAAAATGAGTTCATAAAAACCGTCAAATTCATTTTGAATTTTAAATTATTTAATTATTGAGTTACGGACAGAGAGATCTGGAGCGAGTCTCTATTCTAAGTTTGCTGAACGAATTATTTTTTGTACTATTTTATATGTTATTTTATGTGTCATCGAGTCCAAAATCTGACAAGAAAATGCCAAATGCAAATTGACAAAATGTTTTTAGAAACTCTAAAAAACCAGTGCCGGATGAATGGACTTCGCAATCTGCAGATTCTGCACCATCCCCTTCGATTGCCCCTTTGAGCCCTTTCTCACTGTTATGTCACTCTCTGGTCTTTTATCAAATTGTTTATCCATTTAAGTGGCGAAGTCAGAATTTTATAACAATAAAGTTATGATTTTAGCCTAAAAAACCTGATTGAAACGTTTCGTCTAGCTTTTGATGATGAGTATACTGCTTGCCAAGTTAGGCCACATTCTATCAAATTTTACCAGGGCCTGTCGCGTGAAGCTTTTTATCAAAGACAATAAATGGAAGAAGAAAAAGAAAGAAAAGAACTACATATACAAGGCGTTGCACAAAAGAAGCGGCAGTTTGTAATTTAGTGTTTTTGACTTGTTCTTTTAATTTGCTGCAATTATGTGTAGTGTTATACACAAGTATACAAATTTAAGTTATGAAGCTAGCTGTTGGGATCATGAACAACCAATGATCCCATGTTAGCTCCGTCATTGCCTCACACACATTTTATTGTCTGACACTGAAGAGACTCTTGATACTCCCCAAATGTTAGAACAACTTATACTAAGACGTTCGGACTATGTCGTTCGTTGAGCAACTCTCTTGAAAGCACAAGTTTTTCTCACATTTTGGAAGTACCAATAGTCCCTTGGGAGCACAAGACTTTTTCACTTTATGGTTTAGGAAACTTGTACTTTTATAGCTATGGATTTAATGGCTAAGGATCTTCATGCATAGTTTTCTCCGGTTCATATAAGAAATATCTGTAAACAAGTGAATCTTGTTCCAATACTTTATAAGTCTTTATTTTTGGTCGAAATATTACTTTATAAGGCTATCTGTCTGATTACTTAGATGAAACGATACATTCATGTAAACGTACATAAAACACATTCTCTCAAATACAAAAAAAAAAAAAAAAATATATATATATATATATATATATATCCATGCAAATCACTATTTCTGGACTGGGTTTAATTAATTAGATGGCAATGGTTTCAACTTTCAAGACATGAGTTGAGGGAGGAGAATTCTCTCCCTTTTTAATCTCTCTCCCCTTTCTTCCTCTCCTATTTGAATGGTTACGGTTTAGTCACGTCAACATCTTATATTGATTTTTTTATAAAGACAAAAAGATAAAAAACAATATGTGAGAGGAGAGGAGGGTAGGATATGAGAATAAGACGGGAGAAAATCCTATTCCTGATGAGAGACCAATTAAATTTATCCAAACTAATGGCGTGCAAAAGAACAAACGTGAACCTTAAGCGTTCATCAAAGCAAAGCAATAGAGGAGAGAGAGAACAAAGTAGGACCATTCAACATCAACATCCTTGTTTGCAAATGTTTGCAGAATTACTCAAGTTCTTAGAAGGTTTGATGGTTAAGGCAAAAGATCCAAACTTGGGTCTTTTTCTTGAGGCATCAATCCAACCACCCCCTCCTTGTAATTTTAGACGACATGATGAACAAAAAAACAGCATTCAATTTAAGTAGGTATTTGTCCAGTTCCTATAAGGAGTTACCACCATAAGAAATACAAAGTTTTCCCATTAGAAAATACAAGATGGATGGACTTACTTACATTGGTTACTTCCCTGAAGCGGTATCTCAAACAATAATTAACAATGAATTCTCACTGTTCTTGTTAATTTTGAATACCGTCACAATAATATAAGGCTTATTTGGAAATATTTTTAAAATAGCTGAAAGCGCTTTTGATGATGTTTTTAGAACCAATCATTGGTAAAAAAATGTAAGTGAATGTTGAAAAAGTTTTTTACAAGAAACACATAATATAACTAATGCTTCAAATGCTTTTAGAATCCAAAAATTTCTTATCTGAAAACAATTTCGATTATTTTAAAAACAATTTCAAACAAACTCTATATTACATAGAGATAGTGAACACGGTTACATGGGGGTTGAGGGCAATTACAAAAAGGAGAGGGAAACAACTGTGAACTGTCTGTTGAACTGGTCTGCGACACACATGATTTGCCCAGAGGAAAAGGTAACGCTAGCAACAAATAAAAAAGTAATAGGTTGGTTGTAAGTAATTATAGGCAACGAGAGAAAACCAGAGACCCTCTCTCTCCTCGCATCGCATGTGTGTACAGTCAACCAGCCATACATCTTTGCTCAAGAAAAAAAAGCCCTGCGGAAAGAAACAAGAGAAAATCCAAAACCAGCAAAGGTCCTCTCTTTTTCTCTCACCTTCCATAACTCAAAGGTTATGATTGAGTGAACCAGGACTAAGCTTCCTCATTGCTGTTTGTTGCCCATTTCTCTCAAAAACCCACTCTCTCTCCACCCTTTGAGCTCCTTTTTCCCTCTGATTAAACACTCTCCTGGAAGATGTTAATCCAGTCTCTGTTGGGTCGGTTCCACACTACCTCAATTATTTTTAATTCACCTGGAAAATGAGGGAAACTGGAGGAAAATAAGTAAAAGAGACACCCAAGTCAGGATTTTTTTTCCCCATACATTGTTTTCTCTGCTTTTCAATCTTGGGTTTTCAGCATTCCAGCTGAACATAGTGAAAGATGAGGAAGCATGGATGGCAACTTCCATACCATCCTCTCCAGGTAAAAATCTTTGCCGCCATTGTTGTTTAAGCTCAGTCAATTGGAGTACTAATCTTGTTTTGTGGGGTTGTTTTTGCATCTCTGAAGGTGGTGGCTGTTGCTGTATTTCTGGCGCTGGCGTTTGCTTTCTATGTGTTCTTTGCTCCTTTCGTTGGAAGGAAACTTTTTCAGTATATTGTTATGGGACTCTACGCTCCTCTTGTAAGCCATTTTCTTTTGAATCCCTTAGTTTTGTGCTCATGTTTTGGTGGTTGGACAGCTGAGATCCGTTTTTTTTTATTGTTCCATGTGATTTATTCGTTTTGTTGCTTATTTATGTCTGAAATTCATTCTCCAATCTGGGTTCTTGCTCTTTCTGGGTTTGATTAATTCTGGTTCGTATCATTCACTTTAGCTGATAAGGGAAATGGGTTGCTTGTCTTTTAGCTTGTGTGATTTCTGTTGCATGAAATTTCCAAATTTGATGTGTTAAAGTACGAGATTTTGACAACTTGTGTGGACAAAAGCACATAATTTGAGTGTCTAGCTATATCGTTCTGTATCCTCGAAATTTTGAAGTGATTTCTGCTGATGTTGCAGTGCCCCTAAAGAGATTGACAAATAAGCTTGTTTGGAGAATAACTTTTGTCTGTGCAGCCATTTCTGTAATAGCAATCTGGCTGCGTTGATTTTATGAATAACTAAATTGAAGTTTGAGACGTCAATCCACCGTTCCTATTGCTCTCTATTTTCATTGCCTTGAGAATCTAGACCATATTTAGTTTCCCATTGCTTGGGGATAAGTATGCAGAACAAAATGATGCTTAGCTCAAGAAAATTTAAGGATGAAAGGGAAACAATAGACTCAGGATAGTCTGTTTGAGTGAAGGGACATTAAATTGGGTAATGCAGGCAGACCAAATTTCTAAACCAAATTTTGTAAACCAAATGATGTGGATGTTGATGATTGGATTATTAAGTGTTGATTAACGTGCTTATTCCCTATTGGTGACGCGTTTGGTTTAAAAATTTGGTCTCCCCAACATTATCCCATTAAATTTGGAGCTCCATGTAGCATGTTTGATGTGCCAGTTAACGAAATAGATTTACATTTTTCTTGATTGCGTCCAATATAATATTACTTCTACCTATGCCCTCCTTGTTAAGTAACATCTATTTTCTTTTCAGATTACATGCGCCTTCAGCCTATATATTTGGTGTGCAGCTGCTGATCCAGCAGATCCACGAGTTTTTAGGTCAAAGAAATACCTCAACATTCCAGCCGATGAAAAGCATAAAAGAACAAAAGATTCTAAACTATGTGGGGAATCAACATCATCAATGAATGATGCTAATGCAGCTGGAGGAAAACCTTTGGATAAGGATGTTCTGGGCAAAGATGGGACTTCTAAAATGTCCACCAGTGATGGTGGAAAGAGTCCATCAGAAAATTCATCTTGCTTTCTACTAGCTTGCTCTCCGTGTGCTTATGTCTGCAATTGCTCCGGTTCAAGTGAGGAATCTCTGCAACAAGGTGAAGACGGCATGTTCTATTGCAGCTTATGTGAAGTTGAGGTGTGTAAATGCAGTTGACATCTACTAAAATTCGTTCTTCTTCCCATACATTTCTTGAGTCGTGCTCTGCATTAAATAACAAGCAGCGGAAACTGAAGGATTCATTTGAGGTGTCAGGTCAATAGTGTTGCATGCAGATATTTTGCACTCTAGTTTTGGCTTACATTTAGGAGATATCCTACTGCAAAGCGGGATTGGTTGCGTTTCATGATTGCCTAACTACTTTCCCTATTTTGTATTTTGTTTTCTAAGAGAAAAGCTTAATTAAAATGTAACCTGTTGGGGATCATTTCCTCCTAATATCTTCTCAAGCATCTCCTAACCATTCTTGAAATTATTCATGGCTTTTGCTTTGATGGTGTACTTAGTTGCTGTAATCCAAATAATTCTTCGCACACAGGTTTACAAGTACAGCAAGCACTGCAGAGTTTGTGACAAATGTGTTGACCAGTTCGATCATCACTGCAGGGTATACACGATCTTGATTGGTTGAATATCCTATTTTCTTTTGCGTGCCTTCGTAACTCTTCTAATTTCATTCAATTTTGATTTGTAGTGGCTTAACAACTGTATTGGCAAAAAGAATTACCGACAATTTTTCACCCTTATGGTTACTTCTCTCCTCTTGGTAAGCATGCTCCTCCATTCTTTAATAGCCTTTTGAGTTTGCTCCAGTTCCAGTTAACCCGTGCCCTCTAATCATCAAACCCCATGGACTCTAGCCTTTTGTTTAAAATCTTGATGAAGCTTTGCCATTGATTCCATTTGTCATCTATTACTTACCGGATAGGACCTTTGCCTTAGTACTTGTAGGATCTTCCTTGGCAATATTGCTAATCAATTTCGTTTTTTCACCAATGGCTTTCCCCAAATGTTACCTCGACAGTCTTTCCTGGTTTCTTTATCCTATATTTTCTGTCATTATGCCCAAAAGCAACAAGCCGGAACCTGAAGATCGCCTCAGAGTAAGCATTTTTATTTTCAAGTCACTTTCATTCGAATTAATTATTGACAGGTATGTACATGGTTTGTGCACCATGTGCTTGAGATTGCAGCTTATTTTACAATGGTCAACTGGAATCTTCGTGATTATCTGCTGTATTATTGAGAGGAAGCATATCTCTGTGGATATTTCATCCAAGTTGGGAAGCAGTTTCTCTTTGGCGCCTTTCATCATTGTGGTGGTGAGTCTTCAGCTATTGTCTCGATTTCCAATTTAGCTGCACGTCCTAATCAACCTTCTGTAAATTCGTGGCTTTTTTAGTCTAGCTGAGCAATTCCTACATGATGAGAATTATTTTCTGTGGTTTGTGCTTGTACTATAGAACTTATGAAATTCTTAAGCTTTGCAGGCAGCGTGCAGCCTTTTGGCTATGATTGCAACCCTTCCACTTGCACAGCTTTTCTTTTTTCATATCCTCCTTGTAAAGAAGGTTAGCCTCGCAATTGCTTCATACATAATCATGTTGGCGTTTTCGTTTTATATTACTATAGAGGATCAAGTCCTTGTAGTAATTGTTTGGATCATTTTTGTCATTACAGTTTCAGGATCCGTTTAAATGCCTCCGATGTCTTTTTCTCTAGTAGTCGTTAGTCACCCATCTTACTGTCAATGAGCATTAATAATTATTCGCCAATTTGATACTTGTCCATTGAATATCTGTCTGTTTCACCTCAATTTCTTGCTTAACAGTTCACTTGCAGAACCTATCTTATCCTTTTTCATGCAGAATATATGTTTAAGGTGAATAGAATAAATTGTTAATTAGCTAACAATGGTAACCTGCAATTGTGCAGGGAATCAGCACGTATGATTACATCATCGCTTTGAGGGAGCAGGAGCAAGAGCAACAAGGAGTTGGAGGTCAGCAGAGTGCTCAAATGTCTCCTGCTAGCTCACTTACGGGATTAAGCAGTGCAAGCTCCTTTAATACTTTCCACCGTGGCGCATGGTGTACACCTCCACGACTGTTCCTTGAAGATCAGGTAATCTGATATGCAACTGTTTTGCTACAGTAGATAGTTCTTCCTGATCCGTGTTTATACTTGTTCCATTGGTTGGTTGTTTTCCAAGTGATGGACTTTTCTAGAGTTTCTCCTCCTTAGCATCAGCATCAGTGCAAGCTCCTTTTCCATAGGGCTTCCCAATCTGTAAATTGCAGTAACAACCCTGATATTAGAACAAGGATCGTAAACGAAATGAGCTGATTTTGTTTTGCTGTTTTCCTTTTTCTAGTTTGATGTTGTGCCCCCAGAGACCGGATCTGTCAGTTCATGCGGAAAAAAGATGGTGGGAGGGGAACCAGTTAAGAAGAAGAATGCACCAGTAAAGATAAGTCCGTGGACTCTGGCAAGATTAAATGCCGAAGAGGTATCAAAAGCTGCAGCAGAGGCAAGAAAGAAGTCCAAGATCCTGCAGCCTGTGAGACGGGATGCTCCTTTTGTACTAGAAAGAGACAGCAGCTTTGGCGGAACCAGTGGGCGCCGAATGGTTCCAAGGCCTGACAATAACAGAAGGCGACCTACCAAGCGGGTGCGACTCCCAGCTGACCTTCCCATGGAGTCTATAACGAAGGGTTCAGCTATAGTTGTTGACAAGGGCTTTACTGAGACATCGACTAGTTTGGCCCCTCTTCAGCTTGAAGCTCGGAGTGCTTTCCAAACAAGCCGAGCTATGTCAAGCTCCACGGGAATTGTTGCTTCTTCTCCTGAGAGCAGTTTAGACTCACCTGACATCCATCCCTTCCGGGTGTCATCATCAGGAGCTGAAGAGGCAAGGCGGCTTACAGGTCTGCCTGCAGGCGCTATTGCAGCTGGCCAGAGGGGAATACCACTATCAAGGTCCACCAGTGATGGGTACGAAGGGTATGAAGCCTCGGGTGGAGAAGACAGCGACAGGGTTCCTACTAGAATTGTCCAAAGGTCAACAAACAGGAGTAACCTTCTCTTTGGGTCTGATCAGGACGAACGGGTTGTCAAACTGAACGCCTCATCATCTTCTGGCCTGGCTTACACAAGAAAGCTCTGATCAACAACTGCGATTTGTCGGAACTTAGGTGATTTTAATTTTAATTCTTTCATTCGTGGGGCTGTAATCCGCGTCGAGATCTTAGTCTCAGGGCTTCATGCGATGTACATAAATGATTAAAGTTCGGTTTCAAACTTTTAACCGAGATGCACATACTTCTGTACTGTCTGATGAGCTTAATTGCAGCCACACCCTCAGCTGGATTAATGTCAGTAATTACTTTCTTTCTTCCTCCACAACTGGCTGGGTAAAACAATATGGATAATTGACTCCTTCAAATGGCTTCCCAATAGCCATTAACATTGGGAACAATCCACATAACTATAAGTCTAAAACAGTATCGGTATGGTATCGCTTTTGAAATGTCTAAAAACGCTTTCAGAAAATAATCTTAAAAGCATTTTTGGGTTATAAAAACAATTTTTGGTGCTTTATGGAGAATCGTTTATGTTGGGTTTGTTTGAAATTGCTTCTTTAGAAAGTTATTTTACTTATAAGTGCTTGCATTGTGATCACGTTGAAAATTTTATTAAAAATTCAAAAGGCGTTTCTGTTATAGATGACGCTCCTGATATTTTTTTTTGTCAAACATGGTTTAGAAGCGCTTTGATTATATATTTGCTTCCAAATTTATTATTGTGTGTAGCATCTCAGTTCCTAAGAGGTTGCGCATTCATCCGCATTTCACTGCATCCAAATATAAGGCCAAATGGCAAGTGGTCTTTTACTACCGTGGTGAAAAAGTGTTGAATCTTTGCATGATGACGTGAGTTTAAACCCCGTCAGTAGCTAATCTAACATTTAATTTAATAAAATCTATGCCGCCTTGTTACTTGTTAGACTCGCAATTTGGAAATTGGTTTTAAGTTTATTAATCGTTAGTGCCTTCCACTGCATCCTAAACAAGCAACTACCAAAACCAGAGAACTCAAAGAAGCTCAAGCTTGAAGAACTAACCGCATCAAATGAACCCAGATTCAGCAAGGCGAGTTATGCATCTCGTATCAACTTTAAAATCGACAGATCTAAATGCGCAGATAGCTTCTTCGTTGGAACAAATTGTGGAAATCGTGTTAATGTTAGGTTTACCGGATAGTGGCTAGTCTAAAACAATTACTTTCAGAAGGAGCTGCAAGCGCTATGGCTTCGCTTTACATACCAATCCGAAAACAACAATGCCATCCGTTTCCCACAATCGTCGAAACACGAAAATCAGGCAACACCCATTGTATTTACAAGCCATTTGTATTGATCACATACATTTGATTTTATTCGTTTACCCATAAAGTCCGACTCTGATGTACTAAACTATACTAGCAATTACCAAGAAGTGCAGACGTTTTAAGTTGCAGACTGACCTCAAGCTCCTCGTCAAGCATATGCAACCGAAACAAGATGAGGGACTTTTCCGTTGTCGAAGGGCAAGCTCACATACTCCCTAGCAAACTCCTCAGCAATTTCCATGGCAAGCTCACCATTCACGGCCTTGCAATACATATACAACACCGTATTTGCGGCGGCATTGTAGAGCATCAGCAGCACGAGAGAGGTCGCAGTCACCACAATTTGCACCACAAACGCCCAGCTCTTCCACCCATCAGTATCTCCCTTCAAATCCAATGCCGAAACCCAACTGCAGAACCCCAAAACCCCCGCGAAAAACCCGAAAAATATCAGCAACCGCAATGCCACCCATCTCATTCCCTTGATCAAATTCGCACTTCGGGTCAAGGACCCGAATCCCCATTTTGATTCCACCACAACAACAACACCAGCCAGTGTCCAATTCACTTGAAGATGCAGCAAAACCAGAAACAGAGCAGTCACAACAACCGCTAAAAACCCAATGAAATAAGGCGAAGAGTACTCCGATTCAAACCCCATGAGCTCAGCTCCTCGAACCACCAAGAACACGTACAGCCCGAAAAGAACAAAAACCAATAAAACGAGGACCTGGGAAATGAAAGCAGTGCCCAATAGAGGGAAGAAGGAGGAGACGACGGATTTGACGGCGGAGACGAGCTTGACCGGCCGGCCATAGAATCCGTGAAACACACTGTAAGTGATCGACCCGAGGGCGCAGAGAGAGAAGACGACGGCGAAGAGGGAGAAAGCAAGGGCGATGAGAAGGGTTTTGGCGGGGATGATGGGTTGGTGCTGATGGGGGTCGAAAGTTGAGATTTCGAGGAATATCTTGGAGTTGTCTGGGACTCGATCGGCGAGGAGGTTCTGGATTGTGGGGTAAACGGTGGAGGAGAAGGCGAGAGGGAGGAGGAAGAGGACTGAGAGGGCTAGGAAGTGGCAGGAGTGGGCGTTGACTATGCGCTTGGATTCGTTGAGGACTGTGCAAACGGTTGGAGGCGGAGATGGGGTTGCCATGGCTGATCCGGAACGAAGAAGTTTGAATGTTTTGGAATTGCAGGTGGAAGGAAGCCAATGATGAAGCAGATGATCATTTGGAGGAATTGGGTGTTGGGGACTTGAGACGGGCCTGGCTCTATTTTCTTGGGTTGGTCTTCGTCGGGCCGCCGTTACTATGGCTACCAGCTCAAACAAATTAGGCTGCAACTCAGTCAAACGTAATGGTATATCTTGCCAATCAGACAATATTACGTGAATAAAATTAAAAGATATAACAGCCCGATAGACTTGAGATACTATAATTAAATTTGTTGCGTGTAAATTTCACTCGTATTTTTTTTTTTCTGTGGTATTTAAATACGATTTCTATGATTTGTTCTCTTGCTTGCTTGATAGTTGCACCGTACGGGTCTTTAATTGAAACCCATTGTCATGCTACTGATATAGAAAGGAATCTAGGATACCTTTCTTTCCATATGATTAAATCGTTGATTCACAATGTATGGTGGCCTCTCTTTTTTTTATTTCAGTTTGAAAGTTCCGGTAAAGTTCTTTTACATTATGTTTGAATTAAGAAAATAAATTTAAAATTTTGATAAAAGTCAGAATTTATAAATTGGCATGCACTAATTTTCTTGTTTGAATTTATAAACATAAAAATTTAAAATTTTCACATGGAAAAAAATTTGGAATTTGGGATATCTAAATTTCCAAGTATAACTTTCATGTAAATAGGTGTCATTTCCAAATTTCTATGAGTGAGAGTTTAAAAATAACAAATTTTGTATTCAACTTCCAGTAGTCTTTTAGGTTAACAAACAGAAAAATTTATAAATTTTAAAAAATAAAATTTCTTCGTTTCAATTTCCGTTATTTTAAAACTCGTAATCTTATTTTCTATCGTCTTGTACATCTTACTGAATGTTATACCTTTCCAACAAAAAAAAAAAAAAAAGAAAAAAAAAGAAAAAGAAAAGAGACATGCATGCATTACCAAAGCAGTACTACCACATCTTTCAAAGTCCATCACAGACGCACAATTGCACGTCTCATTAAATGACTAATGTTTGTTGGTACATAGGAAAATAAAATACTAGTTCCAATTATGAGGATTTTAGTCAAAATGATTTTTAATATTGACATAATTATTTATTTTAATCCATGAAAATGTAAATCGTAGAAGTGATTCTTTGTCCATCGCAAATCATTTTGGTCTTTCCGTAAAAAAAAATATATCAATATCCTTGTTAGTTGGAAGAATTGGTTTGAATAGAGTATCTGGTCACGTGATCATTCACGTGACAATTTAACGAATATATTGATAGATTTTTTACAGAATAACCAAAATGATTTACAGTGGACAGACTCAGAGACCCCTTTTATCGATTTTCATTGTCAAGGACTAAGTCGAGGAGTTATGCCAATCTCAATGACTATTTTGAATTAAAAAAAAAACCCAATTATAATAATCAAGTGGTAATTAGTATATTTATACAAAAAAAAAAGTGAATTTGGATTTAAAGTCTTGTTACTTGTAATCACTCTTTTCATGTGGTAATTAGTATATTTATACAGAAATGAATGATTTTGAATCTACGCATGTGGTCTAATATTCTAGTGAAACGGTATCGAGTTTCTACTCTAATATCGCTTTTATGTCACTTGAATTAGGTGCAATCTACAACCATTGATTACTCTCGTTTGAATTCTTTTATGTAAAACTTTTAATTTGTGAGTATAAATGCTGTAAAATTGTTTATGAAAACGTGTTTCTATCACTTCTTAAAACAGTGACAAACGAGACGGTAAAATATCAAATTATACACAATATAATTTCTTTTATTATTTTTTTTTGCACTAAACCATTTCTTTTCAAATCCCTTGTATCCTCCGAGAAATAAACAGTTTTCTCCCAAGCCGTATATTAACCAACAAACGAAAGTAAGTCTAAAACGTCGTCGTCCAGAGCGTAAGGTAGTGCAGCTGGCAGCTCCACCACAATCCCATATAAATCCGAATTCTCGCCGGATACTCTTTGTGAGGGTTCTGAAAATTCGTGAATTATATTCGTTTATTGTATATCGTACGGTCATAAATTATTTTAAATATTTTTATTTAAAATTAAATAGAAACAGTACCTAATAAAAATCAATCACATAATGTACGATAATAAACGAACACGATTCACGGATGAATACAAGTTAAACTCACCGACCAAATAAAATCAATCACATAATGTTGGCCATATAAAAGCCCGACCAAGTTAAACTCACCGACGCGCACACTCGCATTTCCTTCATTCATTTCTTTAATTCTCCTTCACGCCCAAATTCCACACGCCATGCACGATTCTCAATCAAATCCTCCATGAGAGTCAGAGCTCCTTCCTTCTCAACGCCTTCCTCCTCCGCCAGACTCGCCGGAGAACCTCCGCGAAACGCCTCTCCATCACCACCCCCAATGCGACCTCCCAGCTTTCATGGTATGTCCCGTCTGTATTCCGTGACTCCTGAGATCTGTAGTGCCGGTAAAGCTTTTCGTGCGAATCTGGCTTCTGGGTTTTGCGTTTTGAGTTGAATCTAGCTCTGTTTGATCTTTAATTGCCATCATATATATATACATATTATATGTATTGTAATTCTGTTGAATTGGTGTTGTGAGTGATTGATTTGGAGGAAAAAAAAATGGAAGCTGAAAGTTCACCAAGAATGAGATTGGATCACTCGAAAAAAGAGGGATCCGAAGAACCCCATTTGCGTAGATTTGAGTTAGATCTCTCTGGTAACGATCATAGATTTCATTCGATGAGTGCTCTGGAGATTTTGAGGGAAACTGTTAGAATTCTCCGGTACAATTCGTGGGGGTTTTTGGCGATTGCCATGTTGCTAATCTGCCCAATTTCCGCTGTGCTTTTGTCGAATTTGCTAGTTGATCAGTCACTTGTAAAGAGACTAACCATTAGGATGCTGTTAATTGCAAAGTCCAGTGGGCTCCCTTTGAGGGATTTTATCAGTCACTCTTGCCAGAAGTTTGCTGAGATGGCTATCTCGTGTACAATGTGCTTTCCCTTGTACATCACATTGTCATTGTTGTCGAAGGCCGCGGTGGTTTACTCCGTGTATTGTAGTTACTCCCTGAAGAAGTTTGATGCATCCCAGTTTTACTTTGTTATGTGCAAGATATGGAGGCGGGTTGTTTCAACTTATATATGGATGTGTATGGTGGTTGCTGGTAGCGTCGTCTTGTTTTTGGTCCTTCTTCTTGCTGTGTGCAATGCATGTTCGATAGTGGGATTGTCACCGAATTATATTGTGTATGCTGCAATGGTGGTTGGGCTCCCCTTCTCGGTCGTTTTTGCCAATGCCATTATTATTTGCAACATTGCTATTGTGATCTCTGTGTTGGAGGATGTCTCTGGACCAGAGGCATTGGTTCAGTCTGGGGTTTTGATCAAGGGACAAACTCAGGTGGGGCTTCTGATATTTCTTGGATCGAGTATTGGAATGGCGTTTGTTGAGGGATTGTTTGAGCATAGGGTGAAGACTTTGAGCTACGGAGACGGGTCTTCACGCATTTGGGAAGGGCCTCTTTTGGTGATCATGTATTCGTTTGTGGTGCTTATCGACTCCATGAACAGTGCAGTTTTCTACTTCAGTTGCAGATCTTTGAAGATGGAAACATCTTTGGATGGTGAATCTCATTCGATTTTGGAAACAATAACCTTTTCTACTGAATCAGTTGGCATTCAATGACACCATCAACATAACTTTTTGATACAATTATTTTGAAGATGGGAGCTGCTGCATGAAAACTTAGGATTTCGTTGCCATTTGTGGTCACCGGCTGTTAAATGCCGCAAACTTGTGCATTGGTAGACCTTCCGAGCAAGGGTTCACGGCCGGATGTAACCTCAAGTGCCTTCAGCTGGTTAGTATTTACTTCATTTGATTGCAAAAATTGACTAGTTGAGGGAGCTAGGAGAATGAAGAATGAGGAAAAGAATTCTCAAGGCCACAAAGGAAGTGATGGGAAGTGTTATTTTCTTCAAGAATAAATTATCCGTAGTTCAATTCATATTTATTTTTGTTTTCCGATACATTATGCCAAATTAGTGTTAGTGTAATTCATACAGGTAAGTTACTTTAAGCTTATCCAAATTTACACCATAAAATCAAATGGTAATACGGAGAAAATCTCAACTTATCCATTTTCTTTCACGCACACTTTAGTTTTTAACAAAAAAAAATAATCAAGGAAACAAAAATACTGTGTTTCCGAGAAGCCAACTTCCCATTTTTGGGAAGGGATCGGGAGAGAATCTCTTCCTCCTAATCCACCAAATCAGGGAATCCGTGCCGTTGAAAATGGATTCAATGGCTGAAGTTATTATAACTTTTAAAGTGAGCTTCTGTTTGTAGCCGTTTGATTAAATTTCAACGGTAAAAATCTCTTGATTTGATGGATTAGGAAAAAGGGATTCTCCCTTTGTGTACTCAGAACACGAGCCGGGATCATGGATAAGGAGAAAAGGTTCACATATTTTTTTTTACTTTTCTTTTCCGCTTCGTGTCAATGAAGACGTTTTGGGCTTGGGCCTGTACCCCGATAAGCCAGTAAATATAATGCTGTCCATCCAAATTGGTCCGAGACCCAAATCGGGGACGCCTTATACGACGTCGTTGGATCAAAGCCTGTCATCCCTCCAGCTGCATCGTCGTTTACCTCCAGAGACCGACTTTCTGTGTGCAGAGAAGCAAGCGAGCTCTGCAAATCCAGTCCAGTCTAGCGCTCATGGACATCTCCCGCCAAAACAAAATTCAGAAATTCGAGGAGTTCGTCGACCAACGCCTCAAACCAGACCTCGTCCGCGCCATTGCTCAACGGTACCGTTTCGTACGCCCTCTCCCCACTACTGTACTGGAACCCCTTTTCTAGGGTTTTCTTGCGTACATTACCAAGCTCCAGTTGCATCAAATTTAATTGCTTTTCAACTTTAATTAGGGTTTCCTATTTGCTTATCAAATTTAATTGTATATTTTTTGGGGGTGTGATTCTTGCTTTGCAGGGACAAGGTGTTCGAGCAACAAAAAGTTTTGTATCCTTTTCGGTTTTCCCTCTTTCGTTTTGATTAATTAAATTTTACCCAAATGTGATTTTTTTTGGAAACTCGACATTCGGAATATGCAATTCCATTTGGTGTTTTTCGGTTTTTGAAGGTGTTTTCTTGACTTTTGTTTAAATGAAAGCTCGGATTTGCGGAAGAACATTGAGAATTTGGAGAAAAATAGTGTGACCAGTCTTAGGACTTTGGTTAATCTTGGCTCTGAAGTTTATATGCAAGCTGACGTGTAAGTGTTAGCATATCTGTATCGTTCAACTTTCTCTAATTGTGCTTTATATGGTACGGGAGATACGCATAAATAGAATCGGTTGCAAACTTTCCATGAAAAATTGAGTTGGAGATATACTATTACTAACCCTAAATGAGCCGTATGTATGTAAACCACATTTTGGTGCCTCTTTATTGACTTCTTAGTGTCTCTTGGGATCTGATTTTGATTAAAACTTTGTAACCAATTCCATTTGTGTGTAAGTTTATATTCACTAGAATCACTACGTTGTTCGTAATCATAGGTATATTAGGCTAAATTGGTAGTTACCACGATCCACGACCACACATTGGAATCTTCATCAAAAGCATTATATATGTTCGTATGTTTTGTTTACTATTGTTGAAACTATTATCATTCTTGGTTTTGTTTCCATCTTTGATATCGATGGATTTTTAGTTTTTACCTGTTCCTTATTATTGCTGTGGGATGGGGCAGATTCACCTTCTCTCTGTCTGCATGTTCACAGGCCAGATACACAACGCATATTTGTAGATATTGGACTAGGATTTCATGTGGAGTTCACCTGGTCTGAAGCTTTAAATTACATATCTCAAAGAGAAGAAAAGTTAGCCAGGTACGAGCTTTTGTTGTAATTGTTCCATGTTGGTTTTCTTCGATGGTTTTATCATGGCAGATTGGATTACAGGACAGAAACAAAATAAAATTTGTCGAAATCTAGTAGATATTAGTGAAATGTATCCTACTAGATTCGTTGAAAAACCCCTATTCCCTGTTTTAATATATTCCGTCTTCTTTGATTAAGTACTGTCAAATTAATGCGTCTGATCAATCTCTGTAGGCAAGTTGAAGAGTGTACTAACCTTATTGCATCAATTAAAGCCCAGATAAAGCTGGTATGTTCACTTGCAGCAATGCTTTCTACTTGATTAGTTACATTTTTCCTTGGACATGGGTTGCAGAACTCGAAATTGTTTGATGGTCTCCCGTTTATCTCATTTGGATGGGATATTTTTGTGTTTTTTATAAGTATGTGTTCCTATAATTCAGATAGTATTTGCGTCCAAAATAGAAAGTATAAGACAGAACAGTCGTAAAAGGCAATATGAAATTGTGATCAAAGCATGCGTACAGAATTTGGCATGGTACTGGAAGTGTTTGCCTACAACGATCTTACTATGAATTGCTTGCAGGTCTGCGAAGGGATTCGAGAATTGCTCCAGCTTCCAGCAGAAGCAAAAACTGCCTCAGAGCGCATTTTTTGACATCGACAACTTAGTAAACTTGCCGTCTCATGACTTCCAAGTAAATCAGACGTGTCTACGACTACAACTTTAAATTTTTGATTGAGTGTTGGCATGCTTCACTGCTGTTTCATTTTCTAAAAATTAAAAGCATGTATCCTCTTTGATCTCGTTAGAGCATCCCCAACGAAGGCTCTATTCTCCACGAGGTTACTACATTTCCAGCCTTAGCGAGAAATTTCAATCCCAATGAGCTGGAAAATAGGGCTAGATCCATCACTGGGGCTAGCAACTTCCTTTCTTGGGTAGCATAAAATCGGGCTACATCTAGCCCCAAAAAATAGTGGGTCCCACAAAAAAAGTAGCAACCCATGTGAACAAAATTCTATCAATCTCCCTCCACTTGTGAATACACTTATATTCTCCTATTATTATTATTTCAATTCTTTTTAGTTACTTACTTTTCTTGCAATTTGGCTAATTAATGATTGTTTTAAATTCCATAAGAATTAAAATTTCAAATTGATTTAATATTCATGGGCATTGATGGCTGAAATTTTCAAATAATTTTTTTTTTCGAAATTGTATCCTAATTTACCAATTGGTGCTAGGTAAATTGTTGTGTTATATGTGAAAATCAAATTAGTTCAGAGGGCGAAGTGGAGGTTTGTTTCTTTCAACGGATGAGTTTGAGATAAGAGAATTTAATCCAACGAACGATTCATAAGTGATGAAATCTAACTTTGTCACAATTTGAACTTTTTAGGTTGAAGGGTTCATAAAAAAAATTTAAGATAGCACGTCCAAAAATCAATTGGAAAAAAAAAAAATTGCTTAATTAAATTACTATATAAATAAATATATATAGCTCCATATAGAGCCTGAAAGATATAGCCGAGAAATTCTTTTATAAAGCCCCAAAGCTTTTCCGGAGCTCTAAAATGGGTCATATTCATCATTTTTCTAATCCCATATAAAGCCCCTCACTGGGGATGCATATGGTAGTTTTCCTAAAATGGGCTATATTACAACTCTTGTTGTCGATTCAGAACTTGCAAAATTGTGCTTGGCCATCAGGTATGTAAAATAACATGATGTTATGGTAAAATGAGAGCATTTAACCTTCCGTAGTTTCTTGAGCCTGAATTCACTAGCAAACTCAGTTGTACATGGTGCACTGGAAATGTGTCCATTTTCTCATGTTCACTCTTTAACCCAACCCTGTCCCCAAAGACCAAAAATATACACTCACCCGAAGGAGAGATTCTTGGGTAGGGGCTGTGGCATCCTCTCAGGCCATCTCCAACTGATGGCTGACCAGAGGGTTCGTTTTAGTCCTTTGGTCCTCGAAGATATTAATATTTTAATAAACAGTACAGGGTCATATTTGCCTCCGTATCCAACCGAGGACCAAAGGGCCAGAGGGCTCGTTTTAGCCTTATCACAAAAAACCGTCTCCAACCGAGGGCCATAGGGCCAAACATAATTTATTATTTAAAAACTACAACTTAAATGTTGTTTAAGTTTCATGTTATTAAATGTTTTTTTTTAACAAATATGAAAAACTAGAAATGTTTTTAATAATTTCTTAAATGTTGTTAAAAACTACAAATTTTGTAAAATAAAAGTTATAGAAAAAAATAGAATTAAAAAAAAAATGAAAAATAGAAGTTATAAGAAAATTTTCGTAAATAAAAAATAATAATAAAACTGTAAAAAAAAAAATTCAAATCATTCATGTCGGTTTTAACCGATAGGATTTCCATTTTTTCTGGCTAGCTCGGGCTGGTTGGTTGGCTGCAGCCAGCCCTCCAGCCCTTTGGCCCTTTCAGATTCCACGAGCCCTCTGGCCTAACCCTCGATTAGAGACGGTTTTCAGATTATTTTCGATTTTCTGATCCTTTGGATCATTCGGTTGAATATGGCCTCAATTCAATGGGTGTGGCACTCACACGGTCACCCATTGTGTGGGGCTGATCAACGAGGCAGCCTGTATCCAAGAATTCCACCTCCGGAAGTATACTCACCAACTTTGCAGTCCAAAGGGTTCTTGGGCTTAACACAAAAGAATGTGCATGCCAAAATGCTAAAAATATTGGTTTTTGAAACGCATCAAAGAAAATGAAAAAGAGACATGGTTGCAGGTTAAAGGTCAGAGATTCGAGCTGGCTCTGAGATGCCGCCTGATCATTTTCGTCTTCGGATGCCCCCTTTGGTCACCTCGAACGAAATTGATTTGATGGATAATACCGTAATTTTACTGTACCAAATATTTACTTGCCCGTGGAAAACTGTGATCAATTGTTGCTTTGAAGTGACAGCAAAATGACACTGGATTTCTTGATGGATCCATCAGTTATCATTACTCATTTGTTTTTTGTGATTGGATAAAACTTCGATAAGGGTGCCCGATCACGTTATACCTAAAATATCTAGAGGTGGATTGTCCATCCTCTCATTTTTATACTCTCTCTATGCCTTATTGCTTGTATTGTTTGTATGATTACGGTTAAGTCATGTCAACATTTTATATTCCTATTACTTTTTGTTTTATTATTTATATAAAAAAATTAATATAAAATATTAACGTGACTTAACCGTGATCACATATCACAAGAGGACATGAAAAGAGTATGGAAATAGAAGAGCAGACAATCTACCTCCAAAATATCTTTTATAAATGCATTGATTTTTATATTTTGATTACATTTGAGCTTTCACTGATTCCTTAAAATATAGTTGGAGGCAGATTGTCGGTCCTCCTGTTTGGATGTCCTTTCCATCATTTTCTATTTGTGCGGTTACGATTAAATCACGTCAACATTTTATATTTCTATTGACGTGGTTTAACCGTGACCGCACAAAATAGGAGGGGATGGGAATGGCACCCAAACAGGAGGGCAGACAATATGCATCTAATATAGTTTCAGTAGTGTCATTTGTTGAATAAATACGTTCAAACAATATACCGCTCATCCAATAAATGCTTGTTACGTGATAGGTTGGGTTGAGGTTGTAATACTTTGAATATTTTATTATTAGTAATTCAAATTCAACTCACTCATTTTATAAAACATTCTTTCTCTTCCTTTTCTTCTTGCTCCGGGTCTACCTTGAATTTTATCATCATTTTAATATTGAGGACAAGAAAAATTGGAGAAATTTTTCAATGTGTTAGGAATATTGTTTGGTACACTAAGTGTCATTGTTCAATTAGTTAGATACTTGAAAAAGAATTTCTAATCACTTATATTATGACACTCGATGTACCGTGCTGTGTTCGCAACACAATAAAAAATTTCTTCAACAATTGCACTCTAAATTTAAAGAGTGACTATTCATTTGTATAATAGAAACTCTTTTACAGCATCTGGATATATTTTTTACTTTGATCCTTTTAAAATAGAGTTGTTTTACAGGGATTTGAATCCCATATGAATCCAAATTGTGGGAATTCTAATAATTCTCACATCCTAACTATTTATCATATATCGTGCGGTTATAAATTATTTTAAATTTTTTATTTATACTTAAACACGAATAGTACCTAACGAAAATCGGTCGCATGATGTACAATAAACAGTTAGAATGTGAGAATATGTAAAATTTTCACAAAGAGAATCCAGAGAGGATGCACATTGGTTTTACAGCATCCATTGGAGATGATCTAAAAGCTTGCCTAGGACCGAAAACAGAAATCCTAGTCACCCCTACATGGTAATAGCGTAGTGTAGTATCCAAAGGCTACATGTATGGAGCTGTGGACAAATCACATCACACAGATGTCAAAATTTTCTTGTCCAGTTAGACATAAATTCTACCATTATTGTACAACACATGGAGCTTTGCTTTCATTTTGTTACAACCAAAGAACCGTTTGCGCATGGTTGATTGAGTTTAGCACACTCTATTTATCGTACATCTCTAGATAAATGCATGGAGAAATTTAAGTTTGTATAGAACTGAATTATTAAGTTTGTTTTGGCGTAAGATTGAGATAGTGTGGGGTCATACACTTAACAAGAGTGTCAAGTTCTTGTAAGACTTTATGACGTGATTGAGCACCTGTAATACAACTTGACACGCAACTAAAGATCCAACAATAAAAAATTCCGAGCTATACAATCTTCATGTATGTTTGTATGTATGTATGTATGTATGTATGTAGGTATACAATCTACCTACTGTCTAGAGAGCGTTGATAAGAGTAGGGAGAACAGAGGGTATGGGCTGGTGGAGAAATTTTTCCATGTGCCGGGAACACCATGACACATGGTGTTCCCTCACACATTAGGATTTGACATCTTGGATATTCTTCAATTTTATATTTCAATAAATATATAAAACTAAATCCTAATGTGTGAGGGAACACCATGTGTCATGGTGTTCCCGGCACATGGAAAAATTTCTCGGGCTGGTGGAGCGTCCTGCCAAGACCCAAGTTGTGTCCCAGTCGTTCTGTTTCTTCTCGTGGCCGTGCAGTACTTTAAAAAGTATCTCTCTGACGCATACACAGTGCAATGCTCATATACACAGAGAAAGGAAATATACGAAGTACTTATATAAAACGAGTTTATTGTTATGTAACGTCTCAGTTCAACAATGATGATGAACCGATTCTGGGTGAGTTATGAGAAGCACAGAGTAGGAGAGAGAGGAAATAATCGTGGGAAAAAGCCAGGGTTTTGCAAAGCTGAAGAGACAAAGGGGGATGTCCAAAGTCAGACTTAGACTCCCTTTTACTTCAAATCCTGCCCTTTCTTGGCTCTTCATTGTCTTCTTCCTCCTCCATTCTCTCTCTCTCTCTCTCTTTAGAATTATTCAAATGGGCTGGCATTTGGCAGTGGCGACAGCTTTTGCTTCAGATTCTGAGTGACTGATACCATTCATTGTGGGGGACCATATATACTTACACACACACACACATATATATATAAGAGTTATGAAAGTGCTTTTTTCGTTAAGTGTTTTCACACTTCTGCTTTCTATTCTTCTTGCCGTCTGCATAGTTTTGCACAGTTTGCATGCATGGTATAGTAATTACACTGAAAAGGCTATGTCACATTTCTCTCTTCTACACTCCTTTTGCCCCCACCACCACCTCTACACTCTCAACCTAAGATCGTCTCCCCTCTCTCTCCTCATGTCACAAATTATAGTTTTGTAGCAATGAAAACGATTCTCCTTTGTCCATAGGTGTATATTGCCGGTGGCGGCAATGCGCAAGATTTATCCAGGATAATGAACTAATTAAACTATAAAATGATAATTTTAGATGATGTTTGTGGTTAAATTGTTTACATGTGTATGTTGAGGGCTGCAGATAAAATCCGTCTCGGACTATTTACCAACTTCGACAGTGTCAAATATTTGACTAGGGTTTACGCTGAGTTTAGCATGCAGATTAATCATCATAAGTTGGAACGGTTCTGTTACATTGGCCTAACCATCTCTGTGGCC